CGATTGTCGAAAGAACTCGCAACGTTTTATTTAACTTAAAGTCGCGCGCCTGGAAATCGCGCGCGCGCCCCCCACATTTGTTCGGTGTCGCGCGATAATGTCACGTGGAGTCACGTCGATCGTGCGAACATCACCGTACTCCATAGTCATCTAGCTCTATCCAGAAACTAAATGGGGGCATGGGATTCTCGTGCAGTGATCAGGCCGTGACAGTATTGAATGTGGAGTTAGTATTTCTATAATTATTATTTATTACTCCCACCCTACCAAATCAATTGTCTGTTTAAAAAGTTTGCGACAGCTATTTAGTAAAGTGTAATGGATCATAAAATAAGAGTAATTGCAGTTCGTGCTCCACAATATTTTTAAAAAAAATTACAATTAGAACAAGCAAAGGGATCTATCCTGCCCAATAAAAAACAAAAATCAGAGAAGTTGAGGATAAAGTTGCAGAATAATTCAAGGAGTACAGTTGTACCGAGGAGTACCTTTTTCTTTCGGGGAAATTTCGTGGAGCCGAATCTACCTACGCTTTCTGGGGCCCAGGGGCCGAACCAAGATTTGACCCGTCTGAATTTATATTTTCAAAGTTTATATTATATCCGGCGGTGGGGGCCGTGCCGATTGTTGTTTTAGATGATGCTTTTGTTCTCACAGCTGATTCTTTTCTGATTCTCTTCTCCCCGCTCACAATTAGAATTCGATTCGGAAGTTCAGACCCCATTTTCGCTGTAATCGAGTTGTTCTCTGGGAATCGATGCGTTTCTTTTCTTCATCTTGACGCAGAAGTTCCCACCCAGATGCTGATAAATCTGTTGTGAAAAAGAGACGTGAAGCTTCACCTTCACAAGGGCTTTTTTTATCTCTTTCTTTCTCGCTAAGATCGAAGAAGTCGCGCCCACATTCTTATCGCAGGAGGTAAAAGACTTCAATCCGATTTGTTTATGTGGCGTTATTAGAGCCGTAACCAGCGTCGTCAATTACTTAACGCAAGAGAAAACTTGGGGCCGAAGCAAGGCGAAGTCAATCTTATTGGGCCAAGTACTTTGTTTACTTTTCATATTGTTTTACGTCCAAATGTGACCTTACGTAAAGCTATCTCTCAGCTATGATTAAGACTGGACATCCGTCGGTTCGGTTAAAATTAAATTTAAAATTTTGGTTAACCGACATTTTGGTTTTTCATTTTATCCACCAGAGACCGACCAGAATGAAGAATAAAGTTGGCAAAAGAGGTAAAGTAAATCTTAAAATTATCAAATTGAAGCAAATCATTACATGAAAAAATATAATATTTA